AAATACCATCTTTTAATTTGCTGATCATTAATTCATTCACTCATTCAATTCACATTGACTGTGCAATCTCCACACTTTGTGCTTCATTATACCTGGCGTGGGGGACACAAAGGTGGAAAAGACCCATCCATCTCTGTTCTCAACGTGCTCACAAGCTAGTAAATGACAAACACAATGTAAATAGGGGACTGGGATAGAATGGCTGAAGAGAGTTTGCAGAGACAATGGAGGCATAAAAGTATAGAAAGCATATTACTGCAATGTCATCTCTCTACTATTAAATCTTAACCTAGATCATTTTAAAACCACATTCATATGGTTTTGGAAAGTATTTGTGTATTTATCTATTCACCCTTCAAAAAATAAAGGCTAATGTTCACAACAGAATGGAAAATTGGACATGAACTATGATTCTGCTCAGTACATCTACTTACAAGCCTAATAAGGTTACTAGTTTACTTAAGAAAATATTTTGGGGGCTGGAGCTCAGTAGTAGTGCACTTGCTTGGCATGTGTGAACCACTGGGTTCGATTCTCGGCACTGCATATAAAGAAATAAAATAACGGTCTATCAACAACTAAAAATTAATAAGGAAAGAAAGTATTCTGTCTTGATTAGTGCCATCTATTGTAATGGGTAAATAAAATGTGTTTGAATTGTCATAACCCTTGATTTCTATGGACGGAAGCCAGTGTCGTTAGACAGAAAGTGAAACATCTAACAATAAATACTTATTGCCTAGAGGCCCAGTTTGATCTGGAAAGAAATTATTGAGCTCTTCCAATGAGTACTTTGATTACAATATTAAAACAAAACATATAAGGTGGGGTTGGTTTTGCTAGCCATCATTTCAATGAGGCCAGAGGTGAAGTAAAAGGGCCTAAACACCTGACTCCGGCGGGTAAATTCCCACTATTAGAATCACGCCCCGTGGTGCACACCTCTTTGGTGAAAGGCAGTAGGTTTCACTAGGTGTTAAACGCTTATTCCAAGCCATCTTCCTCTTTCACTCACTCTATGGATGAAAAATGTCTATTTGTGAAACAGCTGACAATGCTTGGAAGACTGACCTGTGGTAACAAATGAATTGGCTTCTAAGTGATTCTGTTGCCAAAAAACTAGCCCTTTACCTTGTAAAATAGAAATAAGTACCCGGTGCAGTGGCACACGCCTGTAATACCAGTGGCGTGGGAGGCTGAGGCAGGAGGATAGCAAGTTCAAAGCCAGCTCTAGCAAAAGTGAGGTGCTAAGCAACACAGTGAGACCCTGTCTCTACATAAAATACAAAATAGGGCTGGGAATGTGGCTCAGTGGTTGAGGGCCCTGAGTTCAATTCCCAGTACCAAAAAAAAAAAAAAAAAAATGTTATGAAGACTTTATACTTTAATATCACTAACAAATCTCAGATTGGACAGAAAAAAACATTTTAGGTTCATTTATATTTATGTAACTTTAACAACATATAGCCGGAACAATAAAAACTGATTTAATTTTTACTGGTTATAACTCATTTAGTAGTTCTTTTTAAAATTTGGTTATTATGGCTTAGAAATGAGCTAGATTACATTTTGATCCACAAATTTACCTTAATTACATTTTGATCCACAAATTTACCTTAACTATAACTAAATAATAATTATAATTGATCAATAAATGTCATTTATTTCTTTTATTGAGCTTAAGAAACAGGAACAAGCTTTTAACAAATCCTCACAAACAGTAAAGCAACCAATTAAATGGAAAATTAGACAAGTCACAAATGTTTAAATTGTTTTAAGTTAAAATGTATTGTATAACAATGGACTATTATTCAACCTTAAAGAAGAATGAATTATGGCATTTGCAGGTAAATGGATGGAGCTGGAGAATATCATGCTAAGTGAAATAAGCCTAATCCCCCAAACCAAAGCCAGAATGCTTTCTCTGGTAAATGGATGCTGATCCATAATTCCAAGGGGGGAGCATGTAGGGGAAGAATAAAGGAACTCTGGATTGGGCAGAGGGGAGTGGGTGTGGAGTGGGAAGGACAGTGGAAGAAGATGGATATTATTACTCTATTTACATGTGTGACTATACTACTGGTGTGACTCTGCATCATGTACAGCCAGAGAAATGAGAAGTTGTGCTCCATTTGTATATAATGTGTCAAAGGGCATTCTACTGCAATGTACAACTAATTAAAAAACAAAAAATAAACCTTGAAAATGTATATTGCCAATAAAAGCCAAGACAGTTTTGAAATTGAAAAGTTAGAACTACATAAGATATCAAGACATTATAAAGCTTCAGTAAGAAAAAAATGCATTATATAATATCCCACAACTCAAAAATAATAATTAAAAAGCAATCTGACAGGGGGCTGGGGATATGGCTCAAGTGGTAGCGCGCTCGCCTGGCATGCGTGTGACCCGGGTTCGATCCTCAGCACCACATACAAACAAAGATGTTGTGTCCGCCGAAAACTAAAAAATAAATATTAAAAATTCTCTTCTCTCTCTCTCTCTCTCTCTCTCTCCCCCCCCCCCCTTTCGCTCTTTCTTTAAAAAAAAAAAAAAAGCAATCTGACAGATAGGAATCTCTTATTGAAAGAAGTCCAGCCACTGGGTGGGGGTTATGGCTCAGAGGTAGAGAGCTCACCTAGCATGCGTGAGCCACTGGGTTCAATCCTCAGCACCACATAAAAATAAAATAAAGGTATTGTGTCCACTTACAACTAAAAAATAAATGTTTTTTAAAAGAGAAAAGAAAAGAAAGAAGTCCAGCCACAAAACACTTTTAGATGGAATCTTTCTTTTTTTTTTTTTCCCTCTCTCTCTTCTTGTTTCCTTCCTGTGTCTGTATTTTGGAGGGGGTGGAGAGGGAAGAAATGAAGACTGGAAAAACTACAAAGGAAAGAGGTTTTAGCTGACTATGTAGAAAAAGTATCAATAGTTAGCTTTCATGCATTCTCCTGTACTACTAAAACCAATGAACATGAATATTGGCAAGCAATGAGAATGTTTATTCAGGTTGGCTTAAACATTAAACCAATTTAGATATCAAGGTAGTTTCTGAGACTACAATGGTTTGACTGTATAGGACTCAAGTGGTAAAGAAAGTGTAAAATGGGTTATTGTATTTACTGGGCAATCCTGCTAAACTAAGACTGAGAACACTTAAAGAACCAAAAAGAACTTAAATTCTGTGGTTGCCATCACCATTCAAATGGAAATGTAAAGCTCCAACTTCTTGTGATCCTGTTTTTAGATAGAAAATAATTTAAAGAACAGAGTATAAAGATTTCACATACTTATAGTTACTTGGAGTGTCATTTTAGTTTTTGAAACAAATGAAAAAAAATTCCCACCGAATTCCTACCCTCCTATCCCCTCCCCGTCCAGGGAATAAAGTTATTATAGGCCCTTCTTATCACTAAAAAATTCTATTACAATGAATCTCTCTTCATCATCCTTGGATCAATACCATAACGTAATGTGGTTAAAATGACTGCTTTAGTAATCACTCAGGGGAGTATCAGAGCACTTTCTTTTCGTACAAGGAAATAAATTTAATGTTTTGTCTTCAGAAATGACCATTTATACCAGTCAGAAATGAGCTAACAAGACAGTGAAAGGACTTATCTGCTCAAACATTTCTATTACTTTGTAGGATTGTTGGTGCTGAGATCACCAGTCCTTCCACATTATATGAACTTCATAATGAATCTGTACCCCCTCCAAATAACCTTGTAAGTTAACTGACCTCATTTTTACTTGAACTCTACCTAGCTTTCTGGAATAATAAATTTAATGTAAAAAATTATACTCAAAACATAGTATATTTCATATTTTAAATCTGCTGCTCTTATTTCTCATGTTGGTCTAACTTCTTCTCAGGGGAGGACTTGGAGTTAGTGGAATTTTCATAACTGCATCAAGTTCCACACTCTCTGCAGCCACATAAGAACTGCATCACGTAATTTCAAATAAAATCCCTAATCAGAGCCTGTCCTCTACTTCTCATCCCCCCTATAAAAATGACTTCAGTAATTTTTGACTTGGATTTAAATAGCAAATCTAGGGCCTGGGACCACTTGCCTAGCTTGAGTGAGGCCCTGCATTTGATCCCTGGCACCTAAGTAAAAAAATGAATAAATGCTCTATAAGTTATGTTTTTGGGAAATACTACAGCATTCCTTGAAGCTGTCAATTACAGAACATAGGCAAAAGATTTCCATTAAGACACATTCTAAACGTGAAACAAAGATTTCTAAATAACTGAAATGGTATTACATGGCCCATTATCTTTTTCTTTTCCTTTTTCATTCTGGGGATTGAACCCAGGGCCTCACACTTGCCAGGCAAATGCTTTTCAACTGAGCTACATAACCCCCACCCCCTACACCTCATGCCACCATTTTCCAAATTGCTTCTTAAAAAAAGAAAAGAAAAAGAAAGAAAGCAGTGAAAAAAAGAAAAGAAGTGAGGAGAAGCAATACACAAATAAAGATTTTTAAAAATTCAAATACAAAATGGTTGGTTAGAACATAGCATATGCATTTGAGAGAACATTGAAAGGTAGTTAGGGAAATATTAACATATCCCAACTACTGTGAACAATTAGCCTGGTCATTAGTTTAATTTTCACATCTGTCAAAGTAGGAGGCTGCCCCTCAATTGCCTCCTCTTATTGCTTCCCACTATTGGTTTCAGCATGTTAATAGACATACACTTGCCTCCCACTAGGACATACAGTGTCTGGTTTAAATAGGCTTATCTCCCTCTCCAGTTTGTCCTGGAATTATGCCTAAACCTCAGTCCTGGTAGCTTTTGGGATCTAATTGGAAAGTACTATTTAGTTTAGAGAATCCAATATCTCTTCTTAATTATTTTGACCTTCCAACTATCTCCAACTCATCAAAGTTAAACAACCCCAATTCCAAACCTGGTATGTAGCTCCTTTAAATCTGCATTGTAAACATGGATACCGATATGCTGCCAAATCCGAAAAAGTTTCTTACCTCTTCGCTGAACTAAAATGGAAAAAATAAAACAAAACCCAGTCAAACACCCCCGCCCCAAACAAATAGTAATCCAAGAAAATACAAGAGTCAAAATAAACAACTTAATTAAACCAAAAGCTGGATCTCCGCAAGCATCCCTTTCCCTTCCAACTTCTTGAGGGTGGGCTGAAGGAAACCCCTCCAACTTTCCACCGGACCTTTTCTTTAGGGTCAAGAATCCCCCACTTTCAAGGTATCTACGTGCGACTCTAGGAAAGGAGTGGGCGCGGGCGGGCCGAGGCGAGGCCGCCCGACTCTCCATCCTTCCCACCGCGGTCCGCCTGCCCTCCAGCCGGTGCGCTCTGCTCCGAGATGCTTCGTTACATAATCCCGGCTCCGCAGGGTCCCCAGGACTCTTCCCAAGGGAAGATCGCGGATTCCAGACCCCGGGAGCAGCGTCCCTAGCCCGCTGGGCGCTGCCTACGGTCCCCACTCGCCCGACGTAGCGACCCCGACCCAGGCTCCAGGACGCGCTGTCCCGGGGTGTCACGACCGGGTCGGCGCGACCCCCAGGCCCCTCCGCGCCAGGTCGACCCTGGGTGCCGCGCTCCGCCGCTGGCCCCGTCCCCTCTTCTCTTCCCGCCGCCCAGGCCCCTCTGGGGGTCCGCGCCCCTTGCCTCTCGGTCCGGGCCCCTTGCGGAGTCACCGCTCACCCCGTCGACCTAAGCCTTGCTGGGGTCCTTTTCACACTTCTGCGTTGGCCCCTCTCGGGGTCCCCTCTCTCGGACCCCCTGTCCAGGTCCCTTTTGGGTCCCCTCCCTCATACTCTCACTCTGGACCCTTTTCGGGTTTGAAAGGGGTCTTTTCAACCCCTCTCCCGGCTGTTCTGGTCCCTCTCAGGGTCCCTCCGCTCGTCGCACTGTTCCGGCCCCTCTGGGGGTCCCCACCCCGCACCCCACCGTCCTGGACCTCTAGGGGTGCCCATCTCTCGCCCCGCTGTCCCGGTCCACACGGGCTCCACTCCCCTCACGCCGCTGTCCTGCTCCTCTGGGGAACCCCCCCTTCACCCGCTGTCCCGGTCCCTCGGGGCTCCACTCCCCTCACCCCGATGTCCCGGCCCCTCTCGGGGGCACCTTTCCTCACCCTCCTGTCCCGTCCCCTTCGGGTCTCCATCCTTTACCCCGTCGTCCCGAGCCCTCTAGGGGACCTCTCCCCTCGCCCCACTTCCCTGGCCCCTCTCGACGTCCCCGCTCGTCCCGCTGTCCCGGTCCCTCCGGGGGTCTTCTCCCCACAGTCCGCACTGTCAACCCTCTCCCGGAACTCCCCTCGGTCGGGTCCCCCTCAGCCTCACTCCGCCCGGGGTCCCCACGCCTGGGCTCACGTTGTCACCACTCGGCACCCGGGGACTCTCACCTTAGACCTGCTGTCACCACCCCGGGCCCGGTGTCGCCACCGCCGCTTCCTCTCGCACACTTGTTCCCGAGTCGCTCTCCTGCGGCTTGAACCCTGGCGGACCCACGGGTCGCGTCTAGGGGTGCCGGATCCCGCAGCGCGCAGCCTCCGCCCGCGGTCTCGGAGTCGCGCCCCACTCTCCACACAGGACCCACCGCCCCGCGCCACACCAACCCTCCCGCGGCCGCCGCTGCTGCTGTCCGAGGTGCGGCTCCTGCCAGGGGTGGCCAATCGCACCCGACTGCGCCGAGCGCGCTCCGCCCCACCTCCTTAGTCTGCCCGCCCCCTGCCCCTGACCACGCCCCCACTCGGCTCCGATAGGCTCTCTACTGACCTTCCCTGATCGCGAAGCACAGGGCCGAGGCTGGATATAGTCATTTGATTGGAAGTGCCTGGGAAGCCGAGCGGTCGATGGGGCCCGAGGATTGGCAGAGTCGACGGGGGGCCGGACGGGGAGGGGCGGGGCTTCCTCGGACTCGGAAGACCTTGCAACTTTAGTTACCCGCGGGCCCGCCTGGGGCGCGGTCCGTCTTGTTTGTGCTGCGCTGGGGTCAAAGTTCATGGCCCTCCTCCCCACGCCTGCACTGTTTAGGGAGACTCCCGGAGACCACCACGTGAGAGCGTCGGGAGAGGACGCCCTTCTCTCGCTAGACCTTGAGCGGATTTCTTAGTCATTCTGCCCTCAATTTGTGCACCATTTATTCGCTTAGGTCTTGCAAATATTTACTGGATCTCTTGACAGGGAGTTGCCATTCCTTGTACTGCGTTCAGCAGACGTCGGTTTAATGCTGTTTGGGGAAAAGCTGTGTACTAGGTGCGTACTGTGCACACTGAATGTTCAACGCGGACGGGGCACACTTTGATAGGTTCAAGGAAAAAAAAAAGGAAATAAACAGTTTGTGGGTTTTGATGACAGTAGAACTAGGAACTGTGGCATGGGCATCCTTGTAAGCTCAGCAAGATTTCAGCAAGCATATTTAACATAACCTTTTTCTCAGGGTCACAGGTTTTAATGATTCTGTGTGAATTTATGGCCAAAGGATAACGAGCTTTGACCCAAGTGCAACCTGTGATAATCAGAGACCCATCTTGACCCACAATGAAAGTGCCAGGGGTGAAAGGGCGCATTGCTACTCAGGGCCATTCTTACATTTTTGTGAAACTGGATATGTTGATTAAATCAGGACTGGGCACTGAAAACTGCTTTCCTCACCCACCCAGAGTAAGTTAATGGACTTTGACAATTTGGCATTTTAAATTCCATAGTGGGGCTGGCAGGACTTTTGCTTCAGTCAGGTTCTGAACCAGATGTTTCCAGAGCTGTGTGGCCGAGTACCACTTTGGGAACAGATGCAGTAGAATATTTCAAGTGGCAAACTTGATTTTGACATAACTTGATTTTTACAGGCATAAAGACTGAACAAAATCATATTAAACCACCATGAAGGATGGGTAAGACTAAAGCCATGAATTTTTTTGAGTAGATTCTCCTTTCACCAAAGAGCATTTATTAGTTAAGAGCTCATCCTATCAGTTTTGCAGCTGGAAAGACTGAATAGAAAAAATGGGGTAAATGTTCACCACCCAAGAGTTTAGTTGTGTCTTTGCATTACATATAAAAAAATGCATGACCATTAACAGATGGCTGTTTGCAACCAAGAAGACAAAACACAAGACAAAACCACAGTCTCTGGACAAAAAACAAGACAAAAACCCCTGTCTCTCTCTCCGCCCCCCACCCCCCAGCTGGGGATTGAACCCAGCAGCACTTTACCACTGAACTAAATCCCCAGCCCTTTTTATTTTTTATTTTGAGACAAGGTCTCATGAACTTAGTTGCTTAGGGCCTCTTAAGTTGCTGAGGCTGGCTTTGAACTCGCAATCCTCCAGCCTCAGCCGCCCAAGTCACTGGAATTATAGGCATGTACCACTGCACCTGACTGGAAGGAAAAAAAACAGTCAAGGGGCTGGGGATGTGGCTCAATCGGTGGTGTGCTCTCCTGGCATGCGTGCGGCCGGGGTTTTATCCTCAGCACCACATACAAAGATGTTGTGTCCGCCAAGAACTAAAAAATAAATATTAAAAAAAAAATTCTCTCTCTCTCTTTAAAAAAAATAGTCAACATTCAACAATGAAATCAACTATTTTCTGATTCATTATATCAATGAACTCTGATTTCTAACATGGTGGTCCTTTTTTGCTTTATGAATATTGTTACTGATAGGAACTCTAGTTGCTCCATGTAGTTGATTACAAATAATTTAGATGTGATCCAAAAAAATTGACTAAAACTCTGAGAGAAAAAGAAAAAAAAAAAAGAGAGAGAAGGAAAATGACTTCATCTTTTGGACAAGAGACAATCCTGAAATTCTAGTTTAAATATAGACAGCAGACCTACAGTGAGCTGAGAATGCCTCTTATTGAGAAGGACCTTCAGAAGATTGCTGAACTCCTGGAAAGACATCTCAGCATTCCATTCTGCAAATTCTTGTGTTTTGTTGGGAGGAATTATCCCTTACAGAGAGAGCCAAGATTTTAATTAAAACAAGGTAGTAAATAAGAAACATCAAAATAAATGGTAGGAGAATAAAATTATACATTTTTAGAAGGCTCTGGGGGCCAACTTAGAGATAAATTGTGATCACACGGGTTCTAAGTATCAGAATGCTGTGTTAGGCTCCACCCTGGTTTTCACATCTATGTTTGGTTTTATTACTTATTACTTTTTCTACGAAGACTTGTATCTAAAATAGAATGAGGTTACTTTGGACAGACCATTAAACACCTCTGGGCACTTTTCTTTATTTTTGTTTCTTGTTACAAACAACTAGACCACGCTGTTCTCAGCAAAAGGGATACCCTAAATTCGTTTGCTAAGCAAAATCTGCTACACTGTCTTCCCCTTCTAGTCAGAGGGAATCACACAAATTAACTCATGCAGATACTCAGCTTTTTACCCCAGAGTTTTAGCCAAATTGCTTCCTGTAGGCAAATGCTCTGCTCATTCAGTTGAGAGTCGGTTAGAAAGCTCCTGGACTGGTGCAAAAACGGTTTCTAAAAATTAATATTCAAGGAAACATGAGGCAGAAGCATGGGTCTGGTGGTCTTTATAAATCAAGCACACTGGACGCTGCCATTTTCTTCCCCTTAGACAAATGACAGCTCTTCTCGCCATTCATGAAATCAGGAAAAGACCGTGTGGAGTCCAGCTGTGCAACAGAAAGGATTCCCAAGGACTGGGAAAGTACGGTTTTGCGGACCCAGGACCGAATATCAGCATCCTTGTCTTTATTTCAGTTCTTCATCTAGGGGAGGAGCCAGGCTCCCCCACTACTCCCCTTGCAAGACAACGCCTACTCTGGCCGTCCAGATTCCTGACCTATTAAGAGGATATGCATGTTGTTCACCTGCTAAAATCAGAGTCCACTTCCACCTGCCCAAGGCGGGGCAAACCTTCCGCCCCTCAGGTCGCTTACTATCCTCCTTTTAGGTTTGGCTCCGGGCGCCGCCTGGCGGCTGTTTCCGGAAGTCTCGTTGGAGACTCGGGGTCCTAGCTGCGGGTAGGGCTGTCCGTATATTTGCCTAATTCCAGGGAGCCGGCCTCCGCCCCTCCTCCACTGCCTGTTGATGATTTTAAGTCGGCGATGAAAGGGCTGGGATTCCCGCAAAAGGGGCGTCCGGGGTCCTCCCCATCCTCTCAAGAATGGCGGAGTCAGGCCGTCTTCGGGCAGCTCGCGACCCGGAAGTCGCCTGCGGCGCGAGGCCCCCGTTGCCGAGCGCGGGCGCGGGGGGCGGAGCTCGACGCAGACGGGGAAGGGGTCGCTGGGGCTCCAGCTCCTCAGGTTAGGGGTTCCCTCCGGCGCTGCTAGGCAGGTGTCGAGTCCCCAGAGCCGGTGGCCGTGATCTCCCGGGGGCACGCTCAGCGGCGGCTAAAGACGACATGAGTGCTGCGGGGTTGTTGGCTCCGGCTCCGGCCCCGGCTGGAGCGCCGCCGGCCCCGGAGTACTACCCGGAGGAGGACGAGGAGCTGGAGAGCGCCGAGGACGACGAGCGCAGCTGTCGGGGCCGCGAGTCTGACGAAGGTGCGTCCTCTAGGTCGCCTGACGGCGGTGGGCTGGGGTGGGGCTGCACGGGAGAGGGGCGGGGCGGCCTCCGGGGCTTGGGGCTGGCTGGAGGGGCCGCGGTGGGGGGACGGGGCAGCCCGGGTGCGTCGTACCCTCCGGTCAAGGGAGGAGGGGGCTGGAGGTAGTGAGAGCTGCAGGTCCCTTTAAGACAAGCCCCCCACCCCCACCCCCCCAGCCCAACCGTCTTTGATTGAACCTCAGAGTCTTCGCGGGTTGGAATGGGAAAGTCATCCACTGAGTTCCTTGAGTAGTACTCCCCACGCCCGCCCCGAGGATCAGAGTGGAGGCCAGTTTGGCTTCTTCGGTCCCAAGTCCCCTGAAATGCTTAAATGAGCTTTATTTACGCGGTACAGCGCGCGATAGAGAATACAGGTTAAAAGGACGGGACCTGCAATCAGCTAGCCTAGGTTTGAATTTGGCTGTCATTTAAACCAGCTTGGTAACCGTAGACAACTTGAACCAACTGCAATGGTGTCCCAAGTTGTCCGCCTTTCTTAGGGAAGGTGTGAGGATTAAATGAGATAACGTGCATCAAGCAGTTGGCCGGTCACCACTGGAGAAACAGGCACAGGAGGAGGTAGGGATTTACTTTATGGCGCCCAGACGTATTTTCGGTTCCATGCTCTTTATATTATCATTTACAGCCTTGCTTTTCAAATTGGGCTTTACCTATTGGCAAGTGTGAGCAAAACTGTTTTGGAGGCATTGAGGAAGGAAACTGTCTGCAGGAGGAGAAAGGTGAAGAAATGTAAAAAGGGCAAGCAAGAAAGAGGAGATAGAGACTGATGAACCGGTGGAATATTCTGGCACAAAATAGGGCCATAAAAGCAAGAGCTAGACCAGCTGTCTGGAATGAAGTCTGTTTTAATCATCTCAGTCTCCTCAGTGCCAAATAATGTGGCAGGCTGGCACATGACAGGTGAAGGTCTCTTCCGCTGAAGGAAGGGAGAAGAGTTTGTGGAGAATTGGAT